GAAGTACTGCCAAATAAGAGACCCTAGCCCTGAACTCAAATCCCAGTATCGCCAAAAAATACATATATGAACAATAAAGTCATTATGATGAGGTTTCAGACAGAAAGGAGGCACACACATTATTTGACAGTGAAGAACAGGCAATCTATGTTATGAAGTGTCAAATAACTTGACTGAATTGTGCTCATGATTTAGTGTTGTGTAAAAGACAGGACTGGCATGTGATAAAACAAAATATAGCTGAAGTGATGTCTAAGCAAGGTGTTGAAGTTGCAGCTTGGCTCCTCCTGACTGCTTGCTGATAGTAAAATGCGAGAAGACAAAAGTGACTTAATCATAGAACTGGAAGACTGGAAAATTCTCAGTCTATCTGTATTGTAAAAATTATGAACACTAAGGATGTATCCAGAGACCATTTGATAAGGAGAATAATATGGATGTGAACCACAAACTTAATACCCAGCAGAAAAACTGCCAATTTGAACTTAAGAGGAAGGAAACAGAAAGGAATGAAGGAAGGAAGGCTGCTGGAATTCTTAAGCTTGATAGGATAGGACCATAAAACTATTTAGCTAATATGCACTATTCTTCAAGACAAGGGAAGAATGACCCCAAAGCTATTCAGACATCACCAAGGCTGCCTCCTCAGATTCAAAAGGAGGGGGCGTCACCTTAGTTTTCAATGGAGCAGATGGCTTCTACCCAGAGCCTTGGGGTCTAGCCCCTTCCTGGCAAAGCCGCAGAGGCAGACCATAGGCCCAGCAGATCTGAAGGACATAGCATTGAGCCAATGAGGATTATTCTCAATCCTTAATATTTCCTGGAGTTTGCCTTGTGGCTTGGAATCCTTTTTGGAATAGAAATGTCTGTGCTCTGCCTGTCCTCCCATTGTGTTTTGTAAGCACATACCACAGGCTGGAGAGGAGTTTGCTTCAGAATGAACTGTACCTTGAGTCTCACCGTATCTGACTTAGATGATATTCAGGTGGCACTTTGGAATTTGAGACTTTACATTTGATGTTGGAATAAGCTAAGGCTTTCAGAGCTGTTGGAATGTAATGAGTTTATTTTACATGTGAGAAGACCAGGAATTTTAGGGGATCAGAAGCAGCATGGTATAGACTGAATGTTTCTGTCACTCAACAAATTTATCTGTTGAAATCCTTTTGCGATGTTATTAGGAGGTGAGACCTTTGGTAGGTGATTAGTGCAAGAGGGCAGAGTCCTCACAAATGGGATTAGTGCCATTATAAAAGAGACCCCAGAGAGCTTCCTTAGTCCTTCTGCCTTCTGAGATTACAGTGATAAGATAGCAGTTTGAGTTGAGTGTGGTTGTACATGCCTATAATCCCAACACTTGGGAGATGGGACAGGAGGATTAAGAGTTCAAGTTCAACTTGAGCTACAAAGTGAAAGCCTGTTTCAAAAAACAAAGAAACAACAAAATGATGACAGTGTGTGAGACAGGAATTGGACCTTCACCAGACACCAAGTCCCTGACCTAGAACTTCCAACCTCAAGAATTGTGAGAAATAAATTTCTATTGTTTATAAGTCACCTAGCCTATTATATTCCATTATAGTAGCCCAAATGGACTAAGACAGACTCTATTCCACATATATTTGTATTTTAGCATTATTGTTTTGAGTTGTAAACATGTGCAAATTCATATTCATGTTTACATCACAAAAATATACTAATCAGTTATTTTTGGTAACCAGAAAAAGTGAATAGTAGATTGATACATAGAATTATTATTAAAAAGACTTGTTTCTAAAGCAGATTGTTTCACAAGACTTTGTTAACTTGTCATTTGATGGCTATTTACAATTCTATCAATTGTCATATGGAGATTGAAAAATAAATTTATTTTACATGGGTTTTTATTGATTTCTTATTCATGACGCATATTGCTTGTACATGTATGCTAACAGAAAATAAAGCTACATTTAAATGAAGTGCTATGATAAAAAAAATAATTCTAGGCTGGGCATGGTAGTTCACACCTGTAGTCCCAGCTTCTTGGGAGGTGATCAGGAGAATCAAGCTCTCAGGCTAGCCTGGGCAAAAAGTTAGCTAGACCCCACATCAATAATCTGGGTGTGGTGGCATGTGCTATGATCCCAGCCACAGGGGAGGCCATAGATAGTACTGTGGACTGAGGCCAGTCTCAGGCAAAAACTTGAGACCCTACCTAAAAAATAACTAAAGCAAAAAAGGACTATAGCCATAGTTCAAGTGGTAGAGTACCTGCCTAGCAAATCAGAGGCCCTGATTTCAAATCCCAGTACCACCAAAAAGTATGTATATATAAACATATAAATATATCTATGTAGTTCTATCTATTTATCTATCTATAAGTATAAATTTATACACACACTCACACACTTTTAGACCCAAACAGCCTCAATGGAACCCTACTTAACTTACAGCAGGTTGATGCTAGTCCATTTTCTTCATTTGTTTAATTACTGAAGTACCAGAGGGTTGTAATGGATGTTTTTTGTTTTACTTATGTACTTTTTTTTCTGGAGGGTAGGGATGTGTTTGTTGTACCAAGTTCTTAAAAAGCATGCAGGCTTGCCCACAGGTTTGTGGAGGCCCCTGGTAATGTCACAAAGGAGGGGAGATTTATAAAGCAGTGATGATGATGTCTCTGCAACCCCTTGGAAGGCTGTCTGTGTTCTTGCCAATGTGTACCCAGCAGAGCTGGGAGTTGTTATGCGCATCTCTTTCTGCCTGTCAGAAAGATAAGAACTGATCTTGTACTCCAAAGCCAAACTTAGGACAATGTAGGAATCTGTTGGATAGCCTAATCCCTGTTTTATTTATTTAGAAATTTTCTTCACGAGTATGTGTTAAGGGAGGGAGGGAGTCATTCAGACAACATACAGACATATGTGGTTTGCTTTAGCATGTTATCAGAGACCTGTACAGACAGGCATCAACACTACCCTCCTGTCTCCAGCTTCTATTTAGCTGATGTCTATTGCCAGGTCACAAGCCCTGGCAAGAGAGAGGAAAACCTCAGATTGTTAAGAAGAAGAAGAAGAAGAAGAAGAAGAAAGAAGAGGAGGAAGAGGAAGAAGAGGAGGAGGAGGAAGGGGAGGAAGGAAGGAGAAAGGAAGGAGGAAGGAAGGAAGAAGAAAGTCCTCACAAACAATTAAAATTTGTACTTCAGTAGTGACAATTAAGAAAAATAGACTCTAGTTTTAATTTTGTTCTTAATTAACTACTTGGCTTTTGATTGATTGCTTTCCCTTGCAACTAATGTGAGATAAGGAAGTTGCAAGTGATGTTCTTCTCAGTTCCTTGCATCTCTTCATGTCCTACAATTCTTATATTTTGTTTTTGTTTTCATTTTTTGTTCTTTTTTGGTGGTACTGGGGCCTCATGCTTGCTAGGCAGGTACTATACCATTTGAGTCACTCTACCAGCCTAGGTTCTTGGTTCTTGATTTGTTGAGGCTACTAACAAAATTTGTACCATCCTTTTCAGTCATAAATTCTTTTAGTGAACACCAGTAAGATTACCTTTACCTATGGGTAACTAACTTGCAATGCACAGTCGTCTTCACTGATAGATACTTAAAAGTTAATGAAGATTTAGCATTCTGTATTGTGTTTTAGGAGAACTACCATGAAGTATTAAACCTCTCAGAATTATACGGCTACTGATTTTTTGCTCTTATATCTCAAAATCTAAGCATGGTTCAAATAGTTCTCAAAGGTATTATTGGAATGAACTCTTGGGAGAAGCTTTGAGAAACCCAAGAGTTGGGGTTGGTTGATTGGTTGGTGGTTCTAGCTGTATTTCGTATGCTACAGACATTAGAAACTGTGCTGAGAGATGGTAACTTCTAGCAGGGAAAAACTTCAAGACCCCTGTACTTAACTTTCAGCTTTCCCATAAGCAGTATGGATTAATAGACAAGTTATGAGGCTTTTGGCTACATTTAGCAGAAGTCCCAAGTCAAACTAGCTTGAGAAATTATTGACTCAGATAACTAAGTATATGTTTCAGGATCAGTTACCCCAGTGTCCTAGGCTCTGCTTCTCTGGAATTTTAGAATTACCTCAGTTGTACTCTTATTGTGGCAAAATGACTAGCATTTTTTTTTGCTTTACATTTACATACATTGTTGGGTTTCTCAACCTTGTACTCTTTGACATTTGGAGCCAGATAATTCTTTGTTGTTATAGAATTGTCCTATACATTGTAGGATGCTTAGTAGCCTCACTGACTGCTACCCACTTGATGCCAGTGGTATCTGAATTCTGAGTTGCGATAACAAAAAATGTCTCCAGACATGTCACATGTTCTGGGGGTGGGGTAGGGGTAAGGGGTAAAATGCCTGGGTTGAGGATCATTGGTCTAAAGGAAGACAAACCATTTCATTATGTTGCTTTCTTGAGAGAAAATATGTTTCCTAAAAGACATCAATCTTCCCTCTTTGTCTCATTGGCTCAGTGTAAGTCACTCCCTTGTTCTAGAACCCATCACTGGTGAGGGGGAGTGAATTTCCTTCAGGACAGTCAGGCCCTGACTGGAAAAAGTGATGAGGAGGGAAGAACAGAAACGGGGTTGGAAACCAACAATATCTATGACCACTGCATTCTAAATTTGTCTTCTTTTTTCTTCCTGTCAGTGAGGATTATGGAAAGAACTTTAAGGATATTACAAATCTCATCAATAACACCTTCATTCGGACTGAATTTGGCATGGCTATTGGTCCTGAGAACTCTGGAAAGGTGAGATTCATTCCTGCATGTAGAAAGCTGATGGTCAATGCCACATGCAGAACTAGCAAATGTTGGTATTGAAGTGATACAGTGATACACAGTATTTATTGTATTTTAGTTCACTGTTGCTGTGTTTTAAAATTAAACAGTTTAATACTGATCACAAAAGAATAGAATTCAGTGCACATGGATTTTTCTCCTCCTTCTTTTTGTTTCCTGTCTAAGATTCAACAAAATCCTTCATACTTACATGGTGGTCATTACAACTTATACTCCCTCCAACAACATTTTAGTCTTTGGGAAACTGACAAATCTCAAAACTGACCAGGCTCAAAACCACAAGTATGGTGAGCTACCTCAATTTAGAATGATGTTTTTCATAAGACTAAGACTTGAGGAGTGCTGTGGAGTAACTGATTTGCTTTTATAACTCTTCTTACTTTTAAAACGAAAATGTTCTTAGCTAATGTCTGGAGAAAATGGCGCAGAAACTTTCAGTGTTTTTACAGTGTCATTCCTTGAATCTGATCCTTCTTCTCCTGGCCAGGTGATATTAACAGCAGAGGTGTCTGGAGGAAGTCGTGGAGGAAGAATCTTCAGGTCATCAGATTTTGCAAAGAACTTTGTACAGATAGATCTCCCTTTTCATCCTCTGACTCAGATGATGTATAGCCCTCAGAATTCTGATTATCTCTTAGCCCTCAGCACTGAAGTAAGTCCATTTGAGAAACTTGGCGTGCCTCTTGCAGTTTTATATTCTCAAAATGTACTTCTTAAAAGGGCGCCCTAGGTATGCTTTTAATATTGGACTTCTTTCTAGTGTCTCTTTACTCATAGAGTCTTTCTTTTTTGCATTTTTTCCTATTTGGTAAGGGATATGATTTCTGTGTGATAGTCTAGGTAAGTATGATAACTTTTTAAGTGAATAGATGTGTGCTACTGGAAAAATGAATTAGAAAACATTTTAAAGTAATCATCTTGTGTTGCAAGGGGCAAGTATAAATTGCAAATTCCTAATATTGCCATTGTTCCTTTCCTATGGTCAAATTACATCTTTATAAATTCCTCAGCATATAAAGCGTATTTATTTCTGTCTTGGACACTCATATATTAAATATCCAAAGTCTCAAGTCCGTACACCTTCCACCGCATTCCTGTGCAAGAAAATACAGAAATGTATTTTCCCCAGCGTGCCTCCTGGGCTCTCCCACCTCTCTTCTGAAAGTCCCATGGGTAGTACATTCAACTTTCCTGGAGAACCAGGTTCCTGTCATGTATGTTAGAGGTCCAAGTGGCTGAGTGGCTAGACTATAATAATCATTAGACTTTATATGACTGTCCTCATCATGGTTCCTAGTGTGATCTACTGAAGAGTAGCATCAGCTAGAAACACCTGAGAAAGTGGTTTAAGATGTAAATCCCTAGCCCCATCCTAGGCATAGTAAATCAGTGACTTTTGTTTGCAGGGTGGCTATACTTTTAACAAGCTCCCCAGCTGAGCCTGCACTCTAAAATTCAAGAGCCATGGCTGTACTGACTATTCTAGGGACAGAAAGAAGACCAACAACTATGGATCAGTCAGGCTGAGCAAAAGAGAGCATAGGCAGGGTGAAGGGCACAGGAACAGAGATCTGAGTGTTGGGCCTTTGGTTGGGAGATGTTTGAGCAGAGGTGAGGCTGGGCCTGCTCCAGCAGAGTCTGATTTATGCATAGTCAGTGAAAGCCAGAGGAAGGAAATTAGCCTGCTGGGACAGGGGAAGCTTCAGATCTTAGAAAAATTAGCCTCCATCAGCTTGAGCTTCTGAAGACTCTACAAGAGAGTCAGGAGACCTCTGTAGAAATGGAAAGAATCATAGTCTTACCTTTGACTACCTCATCTTCAGAAAGGGGGAGGTACAATCTGCCTTTCTACCTGAAACTTCTTCCAATTTAACAGTAAGTTTGCAACACAAATAATTGGGGTGGAGAAGATGGACCAACTTAGACTAATGTGAAAATAAATTATATCAGACCCTTTCTTCTCTTTATAAGTGGAATTAGGTAAATTAGAAAATGTTGGGAGGTAAATATTATCAGAGGAGGGAAAATTGAAGGGGCAGAGTGGGGGAGCACTGAATATCAATTCTGCCTGTATATGCCCTATTCAATTTCAGCCATCCAGGATATCTCTGTCCCATCTCAACTGAAGCTGAGCTCAATAAGCTCATGCTGCCTATATAATATAATTGACGTTGTCAGTCTTCATGTCTCTGCTGCATTTCAAAGTATTGGCCAATCTCTCCTTTGGGGAACTCCACTTGGTTGACTCTATAACATCATTCCTTTGTTTATTCTACCTTTCTAGCCATTCCTTTTTGGTCTCTTTCTTAAACTCCTTTTAACTTGCTCTTAAATGCTTACCATTCTTTTCACTCTGAGAAACCTCTTTTTCTCTTACCATTTAACTATCACATACAATGTATAAGATTCTCAAATTTCTAGCCCTTATTTCTAGCTCTGGCTTCCCCATAGGGCATCTGATTTCTGTCTTTCTGCTCCCAGGGTATCTCTCAATGGATGTCCCACAGGCACCTCAAACTCAACCCAGACCTTCTCTTTTCTCAGATACATTTTTCTTCCCTTAGTCCTTATCCTAATTAATGATACAACAATGCATACCATACCTCAACCCAAAACCCAGAGCGATTGACTTTAAGACACATGTGCACATGCACACATACATCTGGCCCTATAGAAAAGGTCATCTGGTTCTATTCTAGCTTCAAACTTCATGATGATCCTACTCCTTAAGACCTCATTAACTCTTACTGAACAAAAATGGAAGTTATGCACTCCATGTTATATTTCTAGTTGGGACCCTCTGAAATCCATTTTCCCATTCTCATTGAAGGACATCACCTAAAAAACTGAAGCTAATTGTCATTCCCCTGCTTACAGCACCTTCCTTCTAAAGAGCTCTCCATGTGCAATGAAAACCAGATTCCTTTGCCTGGCCTAGAAAGAAGGCCTTCCCTGAGCTGACCCTCACTCTTCTGATTATTGGCTCCACAGTTCCTCACCTTGGAACTTGTGCTGCATTAATATCCACTGGTCTCTAGCTCCCTGCATATACTGCAGGGTTTTATCCCTTCCCTGCTTTTGCTAGTCCTAATCTGTCTTGGTGCAGTAACACCTCATCTGCCTGTTTGGATTTTTTTTTTTTTGGTTACACTGCTCATCATTCCAGAGCCAATGCAGCTGTCTTCTTCAGGAAACTATCACTATGCAGTGCATCTCCTCTCCCCACTTCTATCCTACACTATGTCCATGAAATTTACCACATGGTATTGAACTTTCTCCTTATCTACTTCCATTTTTAAACTGTGAGCTTCTTGAAAGCAGGGAGTATGTCTTATTCATCTTTGTATCCTCAGTGTAACATCTGTATAGTGCCTGGCACATAGTGGGTACTTCATATGCATTTGTTGTTCTCAACTTGCAATACCTTAAAGGAGCCCAAATAAACCATGTGTGTGTCTGGGGATCTCAGGCAGCTCTAGTGGAAGCCCAGTGTGTGTTTTTATTGTCCTGAATGATTGCTTATGAATTATTAGAGGTCATACAAGCAGCTGCGCAGGATAAAGCTGGAATTTTGATAAGTCATTTATAATCTTTCAGAATGGCCTGTGGGTGTCCAAGAATTTTGGGGGAAAATGGGAAGAAATCCACAAAGCAGTATGTTTGGCCAAATGGTGAGTAACAGAAAACTCCATCTGTGCAGAGTCCTAAACTTTTCCTGATAGTGCTGCCAAAAGTCACATGAATAAATATTGAGAACTCACTATGCGCCAAGTACTCTTCAGGGTACCATAAGGGATATAAGAGAGAGGCATGAAGATTTTGCCCTGAAAGAGTTCTAATGATGTTGGAAAAAAGACTTAGTCTCACTAAATGTTAGCATATAAACAAGGAATGTGACTCAGTAGCTGCTGCCTGCAAAAGGTTTATTCTCCACAACTGGTGACACCAATTGAAACATAATAAAATACAGCTTTAATTTGGAAATTTAAATGCTTCTCTGCACCCAGATTTACACTCCTTTGTCTAGCAATCCACTTCAGTTGTATAGAACATGGTAAGGACTGAAAAAGAAGCTGAAATACCTTCTAGACTGCCCAAGATCCACTGTCTATGCAACCAAAATGCATTCACTTCTGTTGGTAGCTGGCCCTACCTCATCAGGTGCCTATTTTAAGATGATGTACTGGAGGGAGCTCTTACTTGGGAGTCAAGTCACCTTTGTTCCAACCTGACTCTGCTACTGGTCAGTGACTTGATCTCCCTGGGCTTTAGTGTTTCCTTCGGTGAGAGGAGGTTTGGATATGTGATAATGGGGTATAGTTGATCATGAATTGAATTAATGGCCTTCATACCTCCAAAGTTCTGATTAGGCCCAGATCCTTGTCCAGAGTCTCTTTTTTCTTTTCCTTTGACTAATGTCAGCAAATTTGTTAATCTGGTGTCCCAATTTATGGCAGATTGCTGCTAGAATGAGTTTATGTGGCTGCTAGAAACAAGCACTTGACAATGTTAGAATTACAGCCTGACAGCTGGAAGGAGGCAGAAAAAACACAAAAGAACAGATAAAACTCAGTGTTAACAGTATGAAATTATTTAGTGCTACATCAAGAAAGGACACATACTTCAGTAACTTCTGATGGGAACACTGTATTATGGTTTGGTATGATTGATATTCATGATGATGACCCATAATCCTAAGAAAGAGTTTAATGTACTTAGGAAATCAGGAAAGTTTATAATACATATTTGAAATATGACTATCAAAGCTAGTTAAAATATTTGATATGTTACTTAAATGAGGTGGACCTTTTTTCCAGAAATGCTCATTAAATGAGGTTTTTACAGCATCACTGTGATACACATGCTACATCTGCTTTCAATTTATGTATTTTAATGAATTGTATCTGTATCAGAGAAGGTTTTATCAGGAAGGAAGTAATTTTTGAAGTCACTAAGTTAACAAATTATTTCACTCCTGATGGACCTAAAATATGTAGGACATGTTTAAGTATGACTATTTTGATCTTTAAAGCCCACTGTCCCCATGCCCCCCCAAAAAGTTGTCTTTAAAATAAAAAAGTTATTTCAAAATGGCATGTTATATCCTATGTGAAATTTTTTACCTTTATAATACATTACTTTGTTTAGCTGTAAATATAAGACAACTGAACTGCTCACTGCTTGCCAAAGTTCTGAAACAGTCTCAAACCCACCTCTGGTGGTAATCTATAAGTACTATTGGGGTCTGAATTTAGTTCTCTGCAAACTCCCTTTCCAGTTACATCTTAAATAATTCAACCTCTGATCTAGATGTCTATTTGAGATGAAAGAATTAAATTATTTAGCTCAAACAAAGCATTGAGTTAGATTCTGAGGGGAACCACAAAGCATAAAACTTAGTAACTGACCTGAAGAAACCAACTAGTGTAATAGGAGAGATAAGGCACACACTATGCAAATAAAATAACTCAACAGGAGACAAAGTGAATGGCAAGTGGGTAGTACAGAATGGCACTGCACTCCATAGCAGGAATTCTCAACCTTGTTGAGATAAGTTGTTGGATAAGTTGTTGAGGGAGTTCTGTGCATTGTGACATGTTTAGCAGAATCCCTGACTTGTACGCTAGATACCAGTAATGACTGCCTACCCAGTCCCCACCCCAGCTGTGACAATCAAAAATGCCTCCAGACATTGCCAAATGTTCCCTCATTGAGAACCCACTGTTCTAGAAGTTTGCAGCAAAGACTTCCAGGTAGAGTGACAAGGAAGCTTCACAGGAGAGCTAGACTTTAAACTAGAGCCAAAAGATTGTGAAAGGTCATGTTTGGTTACATGAGAGAAAAGCATTTGATGGGGGACAGGATAACACATGATGCAGATTTGGAGAGTGTAAGTGGACCAATTTGATCAGCTGGAAGAATTCCCATAATGAAGTAGTAGACTGTAGAAGATGCATTGGGCCAGGCTGTGGGGAGTACGACTGGCAGGCCATGAAGAATGGATTGCATAGCTCCTGAGAAGGCTGTGTCAGCTGGTGCTTGTGGATGAAGCTTATTAGAAGTGCCAGGGGCTTTGTAACTAAGGTTGACAAAGCCCATTAGCAGTCTTAAACCATTCCTTTCTCCTGTCTTTGCTTCTTTGTAGGGGATCAGAAAACACCATATTCTTTACCACATATATGAATGGCTCCTGCAGTAAGTATATTTTAGTTGCAGAAAAGAATGTCCTGAAGTCTATTCATGGCAGAATATTCTGGGTTATGTCAGGTAGAAACAAAAGATCTTTCCATACTCCTGAAAATTTAATAGCTAGAGATAGCTGTTAATGATTTTTAAAATCTTGGAAGCACAACCAAATTACTACACCATGCCCAGATCAAATAAAAATGTAGGCCATACATGGAGGCAATATATCTACTCTTAGTAATGTATTCTGTAAAACAAACAGGTTACAAACAATAGCAAATTGAACTGCATAGTGATTTCTGCAAAACGGCATGGATTGTGTTTGTGTTGACAGAGCCATTGACCTCCAATCTGTGGTACAATTTCAAAGCTGACAGCAAAATCTTTTATTTATTTATCCAATAAGTGTCTGAGTACTTGCCACATGCTATGCATGATTCTAAGGATGGAGAGAATAATAGATGGGACCTGCCCTCATGGAGCAGGTTCAAATAGGGAGGTTGGTTGTAAACAAGAAGACCAACACTCAAGCAAGATAATTGAAAATAGAAGATAATGTTAAAGTATGGCATGAACAAAGTAAAACAGAATGCTGTCACTGTGCTATTTTTATGCCACACTGTATTAAGAGAACTCTACTTCTGCTCAACATAAAACCTCTCATGTGTAAAATAAAACCTAAAGGCAAATTCACTGTATCACATTTATATTGTCAGTTGATCAACACACATAGGATTAAAAATGCTTTTGCTATATAAAATTAAAGAGTAATTCTAAAGTAGCTGTTTTGAACGAGGGCTCACTGATAAGTGAAATTTTAATTAATATCTGGTCTTGCTTAAGAAGCTGACCTTGGAGCACTGGAATTATGGAGAACTTCAGACTTAGGAAAAAGCTTCAAAACCATTGGTGTGAAAATCTACTCATTTGGTCTTGGGGGACGTTTCCTTTTTGCCTCTGTGATGGCTGATAAGGTGGGTATTTGAGTCTTAAATACTTCTGCAAATATGCCCCATATAGATCCTGACAGCACTGATAGGAATCTGTTATCTTTTTGTAATATTTAATATCACTGTAAAGTTTGGGAGTGATTCTGTTTACACAGGCTGATTGACACTCAGGGGCTACTGTGTACCTTTTAGCCTTTTGTAATCATGTGAATTCTAGTCTTGTTTTCTGGATTTGTAGACCTATTATTTGGCTTTACTCAGGCATGAATATATGTAAAAAAAAGCAATACACTTGCATGTTATCCAATAATAGTAATAAAAATTTTTAAAATACTAATTGAGTATCTATTATATGCTAAGTACTATTTTAGGTCCCCAGAATGTAGCAATGAACAAAATAGATAAGCTTCCTGCTCTCAAAACTTATATTCAATACAGGAGATAGATATAAAGTAAATAAGTATATCAGGTAATAATTAAAATTATGAAGCAATCTAAAGCAGAATAAGGACAGAGAAAGTGACAGAAATTGATACAATGCTGTCTCAGATAAGATGTGGGAGGACTCTCAGAGACCTGAGTGAAGAGAGAGCATGTCACAGACATCTGGAGGAGGGTGGGGTGAGAAATCAGCAAGGGAAGGGACACACCTTCAGGCTGGAGCACACTCCATCTACTGAAGAAAAGGGGAGAAATGCAGTGTGATTGGAGCACAGTGAAGAGTGGTAGGGAGTGGGCCCAGATCCTTCAGGGCTTTGTATTATTCATGTGTTGAGGCGATGCTCAAGGGTTGTGAGTGGGAAGTAGCATGATTCCGCTTCCCTTTTAACGGAATCAGCATGCACAGAGCTGTATAAGAGGAGGCAAGAATGAAAGCACCCGGGGCAGCTGGGAGGCAATTACGGTAGCCAACTGAGTGAGATGATAGCTGGTACCAGGCTATTAAGAGTGGATGAGGGGGAAGTGGTGAGATTTTACCAATAGGGCTTGCTGATAGCTTAGATGTGAGTTGTGAGACAATAAGTGAAACCAAGAAAAAATGTAGTCTTTGGCCTGAGCAGTGGGATCAGTGACAGTGCCATTTGGCAAAGGCTGCAGGAGGAGTAAGTTTGTGGGAGAAAAATCAAGAATTCAGTGTTGGATATGAGATGTCTATTAGAGATCTTGGAGGAAATGTCAGTAAACATTTGGGTATATGAATCTCCCAAAATTATATGGTGTTTAAAGTCATGTAGCTAGATGATTTCTTCTAGAGGAATGAATAGGCAAAGAAGAGATGGGAGAACTGAGCAAACCCTGAGGCACCTCTCCACTGAAGGTTGGAAAGAGAAGAATCTAGCAAAGGCTGGGAGGGAGAGTAAGGTAGGGGAAATAAGGGTAGTGGGATATCATGAAAGCCAAGTGAAAAAAGTATGTCAGGAGGAGGAAGTGATCAATTTTGTTAAACTCAAGTGAGATGTTCAGTTAAATGAATGCTAAAAATTACCCACTGGAGTTGGCAGAGGGGGTTGTTGGTGAACTTGACAGAATTTCATTGGAGTAGTGAGGTTAAAAGACTGATTGGAATGACTTCAGAGAGACCTGGAGATGAGGAAGGAGTACAGTAAGTACAGATAACTCCAGCAATTTTGCAATAACCCTCCAACAACCCTATGAGCTAATGTTATTATCTCAATTTTACAAGTGAGAAAATTGAGTAACTTGCCTTAGCTCACCCAATAGTGGAACCATATTGTCAGATTCCAGAGCTATCTCCTGCCTACTATCTATAAAATTTAAATCCTGCTATGTGATGTTGAGTTCTAGTTTCTACCTAGAACAATGTGAATAAGATCCAAAGTAATCAGACATCTTGGTATAAGTTAAATAAATAAGTTAAAGGTACTTATTGTTGTGCTGGAGACATGGCTCAAGTGGAAGGGCATTTGCCTAGCAAGCTCTGAGACCCTGAGTTCAAACCCCAGTACTGCCAAAAGATACTTATTACTGAACTTTAAAGAGTTGTAAACCTAAATAGAACTGAAGGTTAATACCTTGTCTAACTGTATCTAATAGCTTTAAAAAAATTGGTTTTTGCAGTGCTGGGGTTTAAACCCAGGTCCTCACAAGCACTTTACCACTGAGCTACATCCCTAGCCCTCTAGTATTGATTTTAAGCTATTTATTAGAGAGTAAACTTTAATTACCTTCTTAACAAACTTCTTTACCAGCCCAATGCTCTCTGACCAGTTTCCTTACGGCAATTTCAGCCTCGCCTTGGCCTCTCCCTAGCCCATGTATGTTCCCTTCATTATGGCTATTCTGAGAGTTCCTTAAAGCATGTCACATCTTGATTTCCTTGTGATCTCCCAACATGGGTTTCATCAACTTTTTCTAGACCCCTAATTATCAAATTGTTTGGATTCTTAATTATCTAATGCCAGGACTCTCTCAAAGGGACCAAACTTTTATGCAGCAATTATCATTTTAAGAAGTATCTGAACAGCCAATAGGAGAAGGGGACCAGGAACTAGAGAAAAGGTTAGATCAAAAAGAATTAACCTAGAAGGTAACACACACGCACTGGAAATTAATGTGAGTCAACTCCCTGTATAGCTATCCTTATCTCAACTAGCAAAAACCCTTGTTCCTTCCTATTACTGCTTATACTCTCTCTTCAACAAAATTAGAAATAAGGGCAAAATAGTTTCTGCTGGGTATTGAGGGGGTGGGGGGAGAGGGAGGGGGCGGAGTGGGTGGTAAGGGAGGGGGTGGGGGCAGGGGGGAGAAATGACCCAAGCCTTGTATGCACATATGAATTATAAAACAATAAAAATTAAAAAAGAAGAAGTATCTGAACAAGAATATGCAAATAGTTCTAAGGCCAAGCTAATGATGGTCCAGTCAAATTCTTAGCTCTATTGAAAGAGATAGAGTATGAGAGAATGAGAGGATCATACCAGAATAAAGGAGTCAGAAAGCCAAGGTATACTTATTAATAATAGAATGGATTGTTCTATTGCCCAAAAGGAGTTAGAAATTGCTTTGGGAACTGCTACTGTGACCTTTCATTGCAATTGTACCTGTTGGAAAAATGAATAATAATGACTATCAAAAATATTCATGTTAAAAAAGTGTGTCAGGCACCAATGGTTCACGCCTGTAATCCTAGCTACTCAGGAGGCAGAGATCAGGAGCATCGTGATTCAAAGCCAGCTGGGGCAAATAGTTTGTGAGACCCTATCTCAAAAATACCCAACACATAAAAAGGGCTGGTGGTGTGGCTCAAGTGGTATAGTGCCTGCCTAGCAAGCTCAAGGCCCTGAGTTCAAACCCCAGTACCACCCAAAAAAAGTGTTTGCATTTGTGTCCCCACCCATAGCATCTTGACAGAAGATTGAAAAGATAGATATTGGCATATTTATTCCAGGATACAACAAGAAGGATCCACGTGTCAACAGATCAAGGGGACACATGGAGCATGGCCCAGCTCCCCTCTGTGGGGCAAGAACAATTCTATTCTATTCTGGCTGCTAATGATGACATGGTATTCATGCATGTAGATGAACCTGGAGGTAAGAGCCTTTTAGGGCCGTCTTCAAATGCATACATATTTAAGCTTTGAGTTCTGCCCTGAGAAACTTTCTTTTACATGTCAACTTTTCCTCTTACCCCTAGAAATTTATTAGCATCCTACTGATTACTCTGTTCTAGAGATAATATGTTGCCTCTTTTAAAAGTCACTTGAGACTGGCCTAGTGGTACATGCTTGTAAATCTGGTACTTGGGAGACTGAGGCAGCAGGATCATGAGTTTAAAGCCATCCTGGGCTACACAGTGAGACCCTGTCTCAAAAAAAAAAAAAAAAAAGAAAAGAAGAAGAAAAAGAAAAATACCATTTGTTTTGCTAGTCTACTATAGTTTGTGTGTTAAACTGTTGTTCTAAAGCAGCTGCTCAGAGAGTAATCAGGAGACTGCTACTAATCTGCAAACAGTTTGTTACCTGTTAAGTTCAGAAAACATTTAGAAACTTCCTGTTTTTCTGTTTGAGATAGGCTCTTGCTGGGTAGCCCAGGTTTGCCTTGAACTCACTATCCTCCTACCTCAGCCTCTTAAGTGCCAGGATTATAAGTATGCATTACCAGGCTTGGCTTTGAAACTCTTACAACCATTTGACAAATTAATTTTATGTCTATTAAATCTAATGGTAAAAAAATTGAAGTCTTATATTTTGCCATTCTTTTTCTTTTAAGATGGTACTGGGATTTAAACTTGGAGCCTTGCACTTGCTAGGTAGGCACTCTGCCACCTGAGCCTTGTGCTTTTTTGGTTGTTTTTGAGATAGGGTCTTACTTTATGTCTGAGTTGGCTGAGACCACAATCCTCCTATTTATACTTTGTGTGAAGCTGGGATGACAGATGCATGCCACCATGCCCACTTCTTTATTGGCTGAAGTGGGTTTTCTTGAACTTTTTGCCATGGCTGGCCCCAAACCTCAATCCTCCTTATCTCCACCTCCCTAGTAGTTAGGATTGCAGGTGTGAGCCACCACACCTGGCTTGTATTTTGTTTTTGAGATAGGGTCTTACTAATTTTTGTCAGAACTGGCCTTCAACTTACAATTTTTCTGCCTCTACCTCTTGAGTAGCTGAGACTATAGGTATGTACCACCATGCTCAACATGTCTATGTTTTGTATTTCATTGTTCTAGTGATTAATTCTTATTATATTTTATAAAATCATGTTTGTGACATGTTAGAAATTTAAAAATGTATTCTTCACCAAGCTAGCTTGAGAAACATTGTTCTAAAGTATAAAAATTTAGAAATGTATAAAATATGAATCTAAATGCAATGCCTCAGCCCAGTAAAATATATCTGGGAAGAGCTTTTCTGTGGCATGTGATTAAGTCATTCAACAAACTCAGCATTTCCCTTATTCTAGGTACTAAGCTGGATACTATAATGAAAGATGGGCTTGAAGACCTTGAGTACCAAACCTTGACTAACTCTCAGCTCTCAGTCTCCATTGTGGAGAGACAGTTGGCAGATGTGCTGGGCCAGTTAGGCACCCATGTGTATGGCTAAACTATTGTTTTTCCTCTTTGTTGCTGCCCAAGATTTACTGGTTTTGTTTGTGCATTTCAGATACCGGATTTGGCACTATCTTTACCTCTGACGATCGAGGCATTGTCTACTCCAAGTCTTTGGATAGACATCTCTACACTACTACAGGTGGAGAGACTGACTTTACCAATGTGACCTCCCTCAGAGGGGTCTACATAACAAGCATGCTCTCGGAAGGTGAATATTGGCATAGCTGTTCTATAACCTTGCTCTTTCAGCTGAATGTGTTAGGAATTGAGTCCTTCAGAGAACCTGATGGTCCTCTCCCCCAGTAACATGCTTGCCAAGCCAGTATGCCTACCATTTAAATTCTGGCTCCCTGATGTAAGTAAGTCATGGTAAATTGAACCATAGGCAGAGCAAAGCAACAGCAGGTAGGAAGAAAAGATATTTTGGAGCCTATGTTGTTTAGTTTATAAAACAAATCTTCTTTATTTGGAGGTTTAGGCCTAGAGGAATAAGCCTGAATTTGAACTACTTTTATTTGTCATGTACAGGGAGGGCATAGCAATGGCCAGGTAAGATCCGTCTAGTGTTCTACTTGATAGCACCTAGGGTTCATCTTTACTAAGGCTCAGTTATACAAACAGATACCTTACTCCCAAGTACAAAGACTCTTAAAGTTGTTTTTTGGTTTTGTTTTGTTTTTGTGGTACAGGGGATTGAACTCAGGGCCTCATGAATGTGAGGCAAACAATAAACCACTGAGCTATATCCCCAGACCACTCTTAAAGTTTTATTATTGTATTTATTGTTTTGGTAGGAGGTGAAGACTGCTTTTATATTGTAGATTCCTTGCAATGGCCTACAAAGTTCTAAGTGACACTGGCTCCCTTTTCCTGTCTGACCTCTCCCTCAACTCTTCTTTCTTTCATTGGCTTGTGCCACTCATACTAGCCCTGTGCCAGTCTTCATACATACCAAGTACATATGTTCATTTCATAAGGATCTGCACTGGCATTTCCCTCTGTTTCCTCAGGCATCTGCAAGGCTGAGCACTTCCATCCTCCAGTGTTTTGCTCTGAATGTGATCTACCCCAACTGTCCTTTTTCGGTTCCATTCTGCCCTCCCCTCCTCACACACACTCCCAGTCTACCTTTAGATACACAAGTGTTTTCCAGAACACTCATTTTCTAACATACTATATAATCTATTTACTATGTCTAGTACTT